TTATGTAGTATTCACATTGTATTAGATATTAATATAATCTAACATGCTTTAAAGTATTCAGGAGATTATATGTAAATACTATGTTATTAAATGTAAGGGATTCAATTATCTGATGATTGTGGTGTCTGAGGGATGTTCTAGCACCTCCTAGAACCAATCCCCAACAGACACTGAAGGACAACTCTATTCATCTCACAAGGTAGTGTGATATAGAGTAGCATAAGATAAGACCTGGAACTTGCTAAATGCTCAATGAAAAAGAAAGATGCTTATTCTTATTGGGTTGTCTGTTTATTTCTGTTAAATTTCCTCATGGATGTGACACAAGAGAAAGGACAAGGATCTCAGAATCGCTGACCTCTAAGAATGCAATGAAAAAGGAACATCATTCCCAAAAGACTTCTGGAAAGTATGGGTGCAACCATAAGAGCATAATTACATTCATTTCCTTTAGCAGGATAGCAAACACAAAGTATGGTATTATTCAGTATTACCTGCCCCAACTTAACTGAAAATTCTGGGAATGAACTAGATTCCTAGTCTTGTTTTGGTTACTCTCTCTGCAGCTATCAAAGTATGAATACAAAAAATGAATACATAACCTTCTTGTAGGCTGAAACATAAAGGTGCATCCAGGTTTCTCTAGGCCCTGAACACAGTTCAGTCTTCAGGCCCTCAGCCCTACCTAAACCCTCCTGATGTAAAGGAGAATGGCTTATTGATTCAAAGTTTACCATCTGAAATTCAAATCATGAACCCTCTGTCTGTGACTAGGGCTGCAGGGTTTGGGAGGAAATAGGGAATGACTGCTAAATGGGAATAGATTCTTTTAGGGGAGGCAAAACTGTTTCAAGATTGATTATGATGATGGTTGCACAACTCTGTGAGTGCACTAAACTCCTGCTTTAAATAAGCGAGCTAAATAATAATGTGAATTGTATCTCAATGAAATTGGTATCTTAAAATCTGCTTTTCTGCCCTGCCCTCTTAGGTGATCAGAATAAAGGTACTCGAGCTCTGAGAACAGAAGTCAAGTTTAAAGGGGTATATCCCCAGCAAAAAGTCCAGTAATCAACCGTCAGATGGGAAGGAACACAGTTCCTGAAAACCCACACTGCCCTCAAAACCAATAGCCTAATTCACTTTCATCACTAGAAAACCACATTTGGCTTGCCATTGCCCAGTAGAGAGCCACACATGAAGTTCAATGCATTCTATAAACGAGTCCTGCAAGGCAGGGAGACAGGCGGACTGGTCACTGAGGGGAAAGTTAATCCAGAAAACAGGGTGACAATTTAAGCTACCAGAGTGTTATTGAACAGAAAAGATGTTGGGAGGCTTACTTATTTTGCTCCTTTTTAACTTGTGGAGCTTTTTTGGTATAACCACAACTTGATACCAACAAAACCAGGAGTCTGCCCGCCAATGGTTGATTCACAAACAACTGTGTGAGTTACCACCAATTGGCAGGGGAGAGGATGGGCCCATCTCCCTGCACCCACAGCATTCATGCTCTTCATGACTTTTGCTCTGAGAAACACCAAGTCCTGATAGCCCTACACTCTGCAGAATGATAACAGTATCTACCATTAATTGAACAATGACACATACCAGGCCCCAAGTCTTCTCTTTCCCTTTCTCTCTCCTTCTCCCTCTGTCAGTCTTGCTATGTTGCCCAAATTAACCCCAAACTTGCAATCTTTCTCCTTAGCCTCTTGAGTGCTGGGTGTACAGGCATGGGCTACCATACCTGACTTTAAGTGCTTTCTTTACATTCGCTGTTTCCTTCAGTCCTCACAACCTCTTAGTACTGTGCCCAGAGTTAAGCAACTAATACGTGAAGGAATAAAGATTCGAACCTAAGAACATCTAAAATTCATCCATCTTCTATCACCTCTAGAGAATGAAAAGACAAACAAAAGACCTGAATCATCTTGACTGAGATAAGGATTAATCAGGTCAGAAGAAAGGATCCTGGGTGAATGAGTCCCCACAGAAAAGGCCAAGACAAAGGAACACAGAAACAGCTAACTGGGAGTTACCAAGGCTCAACTCCATATCAAACAACTCCCTCCAAAGGCAAAAAATTGTTTTTAATGTGTGTCCCAAACAATTTTGTTAACTTATCTTCTGTGTGTCTATACCCAAGTTGTAGGCTCCAGAAAAAGAGTTCCAACTGTTCATTTTTAAGGAGTTCATAGCTTTTATGAGACTTTCAAGGAGATTCAAAAACAAATGTTGGAGAACCTCTGATTTAGGCTAACCTAGATGCCAGCGCTGCTTCAGGATTAAGTGCAGTGCCTTTGGAATTCACAACTTGTGCTTAAACACCCTTAACTGCTGTGTCCCTGTGGGCAGACTACTGACCTCTCTGCTCCTTATTTCCCTCACTCATAAAGTGGAAGTAACAACAATGACCCAGCTGAACTTCAGCAATCTCTGGGGACCAGTTTAATTGTTTCTGATACACACTCAAAGGAAATCTAAACACAAAGATGTGCAAATCCTAGCTATAAAATAAAGTATGGTTGTAAAATAAAACTGGTGTTACTTATATAGTTGTGTATAATTATGTATTTATTTTTGAGCTACACCGGAAAACCACTGGCTTTTCATTTGGAGTAGCGATTAAGATGACAGAAGAAAAAATAAAGAAAGATAATAAACAGGAATTAATATGGTAAGGCACAATGTAGCTAGCACCTCATGATAACAGAGTGCCTGAAATCTGGCAAACAGTGTTTGACTCCGTGCCTTTTTCATATAGTAATTAATAGTAGCAGAGGAACACAGTTTGTAGTAGAGTTGGATGTAGAAATGAGAATACCTAGTTCCCCGTTAGTCTTTTCCCCCAAGTTACAGGACTGGTCCATTACCCTGGGCAGGTTAACCCTTGAGTCCCATCACTGCAATGTTTTCTTCCTACCTAAAGAATTCTTGTCCCCTCAAAACAGTATTGGGCAAATTGCCAGCCACTCAAATGCACCCCCCTCAGATTCAAGGCTGACATACAAAATTCAAGTCCAAGTTCTAGCAGGCTTAGTCCAAGGGGTTCCATTCTTGGTAAGGAGAGTGGGGAAGAATCAAGAGCTCTGTGTTGGCAGGAACTCCATTTCTGGCTCAGACAAAGTGGATTCTAAGACTCTGGCCCAGTGCTAAATTTACTCTGGGCTACTGCTTCCTCTGAGCCTTAGGCTTCTCATTTGCAAAATGAATGAAAGCATCAGATAATCCGGAGGCTGGCATGGAGTAACATGCCACAGGGGCAGCAGAATGTCATTGCTCCAGTCAGTGCCCAGTGCAGTATCCAGCACACAGCAGGCACACCATATGTTTGCTGAGTGAAGCAGAAGACCAATAAAATCTAGCCTGAGGCTGGATGTGGTGATGTATGCCTATAATCTCTGCACTCCAAGGTAGAAGCAAGAGGATCATTGAGGCTAGCCTAGTGCAGCCTTCTCAAAGGAAGGAAGGAAGGAAAGAAGGGAGGGATGGAAGAAGAAAAAAGAAAAAAAGCGGGCCTGGGGTCTTGGGCCCAATTTATAAGTGAGTCCCTAACTTACTTCAACCAGGAGTCATGTATTCCCTGAAAGGAGGATGGCCCTGGTCATTGACAGAGAAAGAATCTGTTCCTACACTCCAGGTAAGTCACAGCCTCCTGCAGAGACCCTGCCCCTGGGAAGCCTCCTTACATCACTGCCCCACAGTTCAGTTCATTTCACCTCAAAAGATTGGCACTTGCTGTCCTGGCATTCCATTGTTTCGCTCTTCATTTTTAGAAGCAACAGGCTCACAAAATGACAGCTCAGGCACTTGGCTTTTGCAATTCTCACAGCCAGGATCCTACTCTGTTAAAGCAACCTTTCTTAGCCACAAGGTATGTATCAGCTATTAGGAAATCCATCAGAGGCAGGAAAAGTAAAGAGTCAAAAGCAATTCCACTATCTGCCTTCATTTTGTTCCCCATTCTCAAACTGAAAAGATGGACTGAACTATTTTAACTGGAAGACTGAAATGGCACCAAAAAACATTCTCACTGTGCTTTACCTAGAGCACTCTAATTTGGCCGGAAGGAGAAATTCCGTCTCTGAAAAAAAAGAAAGTCAAACGCATGCAAATTTTATTTCTCCTTTGTACCAAGAGGGAAAAAACAAAAAATGGTTTTCCAAAGGTCAGAGAACCTTTAAGACGAGTTTAAACGTCTCCTTTCTATTGGAAAACGGAAGACATTCCTACTCAGACTTCTGAGGGTTCAAGGAAACAGCAGAGGTAAAAAGCGGAGCGATGGAGAGAGACGGATGTGTTCGTTCTATTTTTAAACGCTCGCCCACAGTTTAGAGTAAAGGAACACTTTGGTTCTGTACTCCCACCCCTGTCACCTTCTGCTGAACACAAGAATCAGAACCTGCACACGTACGCGGCGCTGACTCTCGGTCTGGGGGGTTCTGACTGTCGATACTCCCAGGAGGCTCGAGCTAACCATTCCACGCCGAGAAGCCGGCGACCCTGACCAGGCTGGGGCTGAGAACCAGCAGCGAAGCAGACACAACCCGCCTTTTCCCAGGGGTAGGCAGCACCCCTTGCCACGCACCATTTCCATGGCTGCGCACCCATGGGTGCGCAACTCGTCCCCAAAAGGAGCCGGGTCGTGAACCAGATGAGTTTCCCAGCGCGCTGCGGCGGGCTGGGCCCTCTGGTCCCACTCCGGGGACACCTGTGTGTCGCGCGCGCACGCCCGCCCTGGCCAGAGCACCGCCCGCGCTCGGTCGCCTCCGAGCCATCCCCGAGAGCAAAGGGCTGAGCGACGGGGCTCCTTCCTGATCGGATGGTGGCTGACTCGCCCATTTTACGTATTCTTCCTGCTGCGGCAGAAGCATCGACACTTGTCATTCAATTCCCCGGGGACGAAACCAGACAGCGAACGGCGAGCAGGGCTGAGCGCCTCGGCGCAGAACCCTCCCGCCCCGGGGCCGCGTCCCCGCTGGGCTCTGAGCACTCACTTTTGAGCGCAGTGATGAGTGACTTCCCGTCCTTGATGAGCTCCTTGATGAATTTGTTGGTCTTGTCCAGCTCGGCTTCGTGCGACTTGAGCGTCTCTCGGAAGTGCGGGCTGTCGAGGCAGCAGTCGCTGAACTCGAGCGCGGGGAGCCCCATGCTGCCGGAGGAGCCCAGCCGCGGGGCGCGCCTCCCCGGGCTCAGACGGCCGGCGACCTGACCACGCACGCCGCGGGACCTTGGCCGGCACCCGCCGACGGCCAAGGGCTCCACAGGTGTGGCGCCGGCTCGCCCTGCGCACGGTGTCCGCGGGAGCTTAGGACTCCCGAGCTGAGCCGGGACCCGGTCGATGGGCGGCGAGCCACGGAGCGGCTGGCAAGCAGGAAGCGCAGCAGTGAACCCGCCGGGAAGAGAGCGAGCAGGCCAGCGAGTGCGGCCGCCGCCTCCCCGCCTCCTTAGCTGGCTCGCTTTCCAGCAGCCTCGAGCGCCCTCTCACAGCAGCCTTAGCCGCCCCGCCGGCGTCCTGGCCGTTCGAACCTGCTAGCGATGACCTAATCACGGTTGAGCCAATCAGCGAGTCCTCCTCAGCCCGACCCCCGGGGCCGCCCGGCCCTTCCGTGGATTTTATCCAATCATATGAGCCTGGAGGCGGGGTCTAGGGTGAGGGCGGAGCCCACGCCACAGCCTAGGTCCGCAGAGCAGGCTCCGCCCCCTCCTGCCCGCCTGCCTGGTGTTGCAGACCCGAACCCTGAGCGTGAGTGCTGTTGTGCCCTGCAACTCACACCTTGCCCTCCTGTTGGAGCCCTAATCTGAGCCGCATCGCAGATATGATGCGTCTGCCGGTCTGGGGAACCGAGGAGCCTAGATAAACCGAGCCTAAAAAATCTGGGAAATTATTGCTGCTGTCACAGCTCCCCGCCCTGCGCTGTTGGACAACCTAGCTTGCACTCAAAATACAGCCCTCTCCCTGAGAGAACCCCGAGCGCACAGAGGACCATACTCTTCCTCTTCCAGTCAGGCAGAAAATGCTGTTTGCATCTTTAAACTACCAACTCTTCTTGCCTGCAATCTTCCCGCCCCTACAGTCTGTGCTGCTCCCGGCCACTCCTGCTGAAAACCCGCCCACGGCTGCCCCCAGCCGAAGGATCTCACATCCTTGCAAAAATTTCAGCCGCCTGTTATTTTCCTGCTGGGCACCTCGCACCATTTTACACAATTTATGTCCCTCGCTGCTATTCAGTGAGCTTTACGAGGGCACGTGCCACCGCGGTTTTCTTATCAGCTGTTTCATCCCAACACATACAACAGCAGCTGGTATTTAATAATAGGTAATGAGCACTACGTCCACTAGTGTACTTGATAATTTTTTGTGCCAAAAGAATGAATCCTTCTCCTATGTCCCTCCACCTCCCGCCCAAGGGCGTTGACCTGTCGTCCCCCATTAGACCACAAGACTCAATTCTGGCAGTTCACTCACAGTGCAATTGTCAGGCTGGGTCCCATAGGGTGTTTGGTGCTGAATTGTGAACTCCTGGTGGATAGGGCTGTTCTTGAATAAGTTGTTTCTATGACCATGAACTAACAGCCCTCTTTCAGTTAACTGAGCGTGTGGTTGGGTTTGTTTTTCAAATAGGTCTGCTATATGCAGACACTGACCTAGGGATACAAAGATGAGCACAGAATGAACTTGATTGCTTCTGTTCTGGGCAAGTCGGAAGCAAATGAGCAATAACAATGCTGTCTGATAAGTTAAGATGGAAGGCCTGGATGCTTGGGAACAAGGAGAAGGAATTTCAAATTCAGGAGGTCTGTACTGAAAAAATAATTAATCTATTTATTAAATGCATAAATGAATGAATGTGACCTGTTTGTTAATTCTATCAACAAAGTTAGCTTGGTAGCAGGCCCAAACAGCTACCTAATAATTACAACCATAAAAATAGTCCTTCCTCACTTGCTGTGGATGAGAAAGCTCTGGAATGGAAACTCCATGAAAGTAAATCTCTTTCATCCTTGAGTACCTAAAGGCAGGTGTTGTGTTTATACCCCTCAAACACAAAACTTAATGGTGTAAGACAGACGCAATCATTTTCTTTTACCATCTGCAGGGATCAGGAATTTGGGGAGGAATTAGGTTCTAGCTTTAGGGTCTGTACTTGGCTGCAGTCAGATGGTGACATCGCTGCAGCAGCCGATGGTTAACTGCTCATCTCCCTCTCTTCAGGAAGACTGTTGTTTGCATCTTTAAGTTACCACCTCTTCTTGCTTGCACTCTTCTTCCCTGAAGGCTTCTCCATGTAGCCTCAGAGCACGGCAGTCCCCTGGTCTCCAGCCTGAACTTGCAGCTCACAAAAAGAAACTATCATCTCTTATGACCTAGTTTTGGAAGTCAGGTACTTCTACTACCTTCATTGGCTGTAAGCAAGTCACAAGTTCACCCAGATGGAAAGGGAGGGGAATGAGATCGCACCTCTGGATGGGGGATGACAAGAATGGGAGATATTGCTGTGGCCATTTCTGAAAAATACAATCTGCCACAAAGGGCCTAGCAAGCACATGGTACAGTAGTCAGTAAATGCTAAGTGACTGAAACAAAATGAGATCCACAATTGTTTGTGTTATCTTGTTGAGGAAAATTGGGCAAATGTATATACATTAATGCATATACCTATTAATAATAACACAGTAGACCCTTGTTATCCACAGGCATATGATTCCTCTGTTGAGAAACACCACAAATGCTCAGGATGCACAGAGTTCATTGCTCTAAAATCAAATTTACCTATACTATATGTATGTCTGAGCATCCATAACTTGAAACTACATGAAGTAGCTACATTACTGTCATAAAAAATTACTGTTGTACTCGTTAATAGTGCTCAGCAAAAACTAGATCTTATTTCATGCTCTTTATCTCAAATACTGCAGATGCATGTCATAACGTCACCAAACCTCTGTTGAAAACAAGCCACCTTCTCATGAATCTCAAATTTTCACTTTATCATTCAATTAAGTACATTACATATTCTTCTTGGCTTGGGGGATTACCACAATTTTTACCTGGCATTGGCGAAGGCAGATTTTCACAAAATCCAGGATAAGGACCATAATGATGCAAACACAACTGAGAGTTTCCCACATCAATTGAGCTATAGTACACATGTAGGAATTAAAACTATTGTATATTAAAATTGTGATATATTGTAAGAACTTTAGTAAATGTCACAATGTATCCCCAGTACAATAATAAAAAAGATAGAAAATAAATAAGATTTTAAGTTGAACAAAAAAAGAAATTTCTTTTGATTTTTTTTTTTTATTTATTTGACTATGCTTGGTCAAAACCACATGTAATAAATCCACATATAAGGTGAGCTTACTGAAATAATATACTAGGTATCCTTTGTTAAATTTAGTTTGTGCTAAAGCACTATGTTAAATGTTTTACTTGCATTTAATTCCTACAGGATAAAACTGATACTATAATAATCTCCATATTTCCCTCATATAAGAAATTGGCTCAGAGTTAATAAGTCTGTGTGGCATGAATATATTCACAAACATATAACTTAATATGCCTCTGTTACTGGAGTCCTAGGCCACAGGCCTGACTCTGAGATCCCAGTAAATCAGATCAGTGACTTGTCCCAAAAATCCAGGAAGAAAAGTGATAGTGGAAAGCAAGAGAGGAACTTCAATCAGTACAGCTGTTCTGGGAGAATGGGGGACTACCATCCTCATCCCTGTCTTCAGAGCTAATGACATGAACTTCAAGATTACGCAGGGAAGGGACAAAAGTAGAAAACTAGAAGCATGCATAGTTAAACAGTCTTGGTTAAACTGTGATAGTTATCTCAGGATTGGTCAAGCAGATAAGAAAGTTGCTATTGCTTGGGAGGTAATCTCAACTTTTGTCACAAAAAGTGTTTATCCAAACTTGGCACAAGTGGCCCACATCTGTAATCCTAGCTACTCAGGAGGGAGAGATCAGGAGGATCCAGGTTCAAAGCCAGCCTGGGAAAACAATTCACAAGACTATCTCAAAAAAACCCTTCACAAAAATGGGCTGTTGGAGTGGCTCAAGTGTAGGCCCTGAGTTCAAGCCCCAGTACCAAAAAAAAAAAAAAAAACCATGTTTATCCATCAGAGCTGTTGGATTCTAGCACCTGGAATACAAAGTGACCAAAGGAGCAAAGGAGACAGGTGCAAGAGATGCTTTTACCTATCAGGCATCTGTAGGCATCTGCAGGCCCAAATGAGAGTCAGTACTTTTAGCAAAAGCCTCCTCCAAGTCCTTGTTACAACCATTCACTGACAAATATGTGAGAATGTGGATAATGTATAAATGCCCTATGTATTTAATCCAGAATTTCCACAAGTGACTTTCCACGCTTTTGGTGATATTACCAGAAAAAGGGAGTCAGAATGCAACGGTATTGAGAATAAAAACTGGTATATGGTTGGTGCAGTAGTCTCTGTCCTAGAAAGTAAGCTCCATGAGGGTAGGGATTTTGTGGGGTTCAATGCCACAATCCCAATTTAGAACAGCAGTTGGCACCTAAAGATATTCAGCATCAACAGAAAGGTCATATGCTTAATAAGGAAGAAACAGTGACTCACGTGACAAGATAGATTTTTGTCATGTCACACAAATAGAACAGTTAAGGCCAGAAATCACTTTCATATGAAGTAAAGAAATAAATTAAGCAACATTATCTAGTCTAAATTCTTTGGATGACTGTCTGAATTCCTTCAAATTAGCCACACAATTAGTCCAAACAGTTTTGCTTTCAATAACCACATATTTTTAATCCATGTTATTTCTGATTTCAGTTGTCCAATTCACAATTTCTTGTTAAGTGTAAGAACAAAGCACTCCCACAGGTGCTGTCTGAGCCCACTTAATCAGAGGTGGACAGGACTGCCACTCATTGGTTCCTGCACACAAGCTGGAGATCAGCTTGGACCAGGATGAAGCATCCATGGGTCCTCCTGTCATCAAGGAGTCCGGGGCAGCTGTATCTGCAGGACAGCCTCAGGGGATGATGATGATGACCAGCACAAGGTGGAGAGCCCTCAAACTGATCTTCCTCTGTGTTTTTGTATCAGTTTTGTCTGGCTAGTTCATTTGGATTTTGTTTAGTTATTTTGTTGTTGGTGGTGGTGATAGCAGTAGTAGTGGTGGTGGTGCTGGGGACCAAAACCCAGGGTCTCAAACATGCTAGGCAAGTACTCTACCACTGAGCTATACCCCCAGCCCTTCCCATGCTCTGCAGTAGTTGCCTTCTCAGGGGCTGTCTTAGCTTCTCCAGATTCACATTCAGCAGTATTAGTAGCTAGAGAGTTTTCTTTCTAAGAATTGCAGCAGAAATGACAAGACTGGAGCCAAGGCTAAAACAGCTCCACTCCAAACACAAGACACTGGGGAGCTTTTGTTCTAGAAGGAGAGTGCTGCCTCTGGACAGGCAGTAGCAGCACTGTGCAGCCCCATG